CCGCTCGGGACGACTGTGGCACCCCCGCAACGCTCTCTCGACGAGGCGCAATCGCCGACGAGACCGCCAAAGACCAACGATCCCCGACGAGGCCCGCTGAGCCGGTCCCCCCGTGTTATTCTCCCTCGGCCTCGCGCCCAAGGGCCCGTCGCAGTTTCGAGGAGCCTCCGTCGATAGCCTTCCGAGGGCCCCGGTGTGAGACCGGCCGGGGCTGGCTCACAGCCGGCGAGCCTCGCTCTTGAAGCGGCCGCCGGGCGATTCGAGGCGGTGCCAGGAACAAGTGGACATTCCCTCGTTCCTTCTCGCTCCTCCTCTCCCTCGTGCATCTTCCCATTCCTATATCCTCCCTGTCCTGTCTCTCCTCCCTCTTCCGTTTTACCTCTTCTTCCTCCTCCCTCTCTTTTTTCCTTCCGTCCTTGCTCCTCCCCCTCCCTCAGGATTCATTTCTTCCCCTCCGTCCTCACCCTTCCCTTTTCCTAATCTCTTCTCCAGTCTTCTCCCCCATTCCCTCCTCCCTTCTCCCCTTTTCTCTGATGAGGATGGCTATGGACTGCGGGAGGTTGGCTTGCGCAGCGTTCCCGCTTGCCTGGCGCCGTTCTTTTCCCGCCGTTGTGCCTAACTCATCATGGTGGTTCAGGATTACAAGTCATCCCAATCGAACAACCGAGTTCGACCTAAACGTGTTTTTTGTTTCTAATGGCGACGCGTTTCGGACACTGGCCTCGTCTACGTAGGGCCCAAGTTCTCCGTTGGGCTGCCTCCCTCCCGGAGTGGGCCAGTGCGCCCGCGCACGGACCGTTGCGCAACGCATTTGGGGCGGCTGCAACGGGGCGCTCGAGAGACTCCGAGGAGACATCGAGACCCCAACTGGCCGACGCACCAGACCAACCAGAGTGGGAGGGCGGGGGAAACCGGCGACGCCGGCACAGAGCCCTTGTCTGGCCCGCAGACAGGGCACCGTCCTGCCAAGCGCTCTCCAGGGGCACCATGGGGAAAGCTGGGACCTTCAGATGGATCCTCGCGGGCCCTCACGGAAGCCAACGGCACTGTGCCGCCCCTGCCAGGCTGTCGGGCCACTGGTCAGGGCGCTAAGGCCTCCTTGGGAGCGAAGGCCGATGCTCGATTCCTCACCGCGGACCTGGGCGGAAAGGAAGTCGGCTAGAAGCGACGAATCACCGAGTGCAGCCATGGCGTCAAGGATGCAGCCTGCCCAGAGTTTTCTTCCCAAATAATTGCGTGCAGGGACGATGACGAGGCTGCGGTATTCCCGCGCACGTGCATTGCAGTGCGCTTGTAAGGTAGCTATCTGTCCAGCTTGCCTGGGGTGAAAGTCACCTACAAAAGACTCCTCTCTGCTCACTCCTTCGTCCCCCCTCCTCCCTCTTCCCCCTCGCTTCTCCTTCCTCTTCCATTCTCCTTCCTTCCCTGCTCCTTCTTCGCCCCGACAACGACGCCGCCGCCGACGACGATGCCGACGACGACGCCGACGCCGTTGCCAACGCCGACGCCGACGCCGACGACGACGACGACGCTGACGACGACGACGCTGACGACGACGACGACGACGCCGACGACGACGACGACGACGCCGCCGACGCCGCCGCCGACGCCGACGACGACGACGCCACCGTCGACGACGACGACGACGACGCCGGCGCCGACGACGACGCCGCCGACGACGACGCCGACACCGACGACGACATCGACGACTTTGACGATCACCTCCCCCGAGACGGGCTTCGACGCCCACCGCGGCGCCGCCACCTCCTGGTGTTCCGACGAGGATGCCTACGCCGACGACGACGCCGAGGGCCTCAACGCCCATATGCTGCTCCGACGAGGACGACAACGACGCCGACGCCGACGCCGCCGACGACGACGACGATGACGACGACGAAGTCGACGCCGACGACGACGACGCCGACGCCGACGACGACGCCGACACCGACGACGACGACGACGACGACGACGACGACGACGACGACGACGACGACGACGACGACGATGACGACGACGACGACGACGACGACTACGCCGACGCCGACGCCGACGCCGACGCCGACGCCGACGCCGCCGCCGACGCCGACGCCGCCGTCGCCGCCGACGCCGACGTCGTCGCCGACGACGCCGACGTCGACGCCGACGCCCACGCCGCCGCCGCCGAGGCCGCCGCCGCCGCCGCCGACGACGACGACGATGATGATGATGATGATGATGATGATGATGATGATGATGATGATGATGATGATGATGATGATGATGATGATGATGATGATGATGATGATGACGACGTCGACGCCGGCGACGACGACGCCGCCGCCGACGACGACGCCGACACCGCCGACGACGACGACGACGACGAGGTCGACGACGACGACGACACCGACGACGACGACGACTTTGACGATAACCTCCCCCGAGAAGGGCTTCGGCGCCCACCGCAGCGCCGCCACCTCCTGCTGTCCTGACGAGGAAGCCAACGCCGACGACGACGCCGACCTCGACGAGGTCGACGAGGTCGACGACGACGCCGACGCCCGCGCTGACGCCGACGCCGTGACTGCGCCGACGCCGACGCCAATGCCGACGCCGACGCCGCCGACGACGACTTCGACGACGACCTCGATGACCTTGGCAACGACCTCCCCCCGAGGAAGGCCTCGACGCCCATCGCGGCGCCGCCGCCTCCGGTTTTTCCGACGAGGATGCCGACGACGCCGACGCCGACCTCGACGAGGTCGACGCCGACGCTCACGACGACGCCGACGACGCCGACGCCGACGCAGACGCCGACGCCGCCGACGACGCCGCCGCCGACGGCGACGACGACGCTGACGAAGTCGAAGCAGATTTCGACGTGGTCGACCCGACGCCGACGCCGAAGCCGTCGCCGACGCCGACGCCGACGACGCCGCCGCCACCGCCGCCGCCGACAACGACGACGCCGCCGACGACGACGACGACGACGTCATTGACGACACGACGATGGCGATGACGGCGACTGCGGCGACGACCTCGGTGACCTCGTCGATGATCACTCCCTGCGGAGAGCCTCGACGCCCACCGCACCGCGGCGCTGCTGCTCAGACGAGGACGCCGACGACACCGACGCCGATTTCGACGAGGTCGACGCCGACGCCGACGCCGACGCTGACGTCGACGCCGACGCCGACGCTGACGCCGACGCCGATGCCGACGCCGACGCCAACGCCGCCGCCGCCGACACCGACGCCGACGCCGACGCCGACGCCCACACCGACGCCGACGCCGACGCCGACGCCGACGACGATGATGAAGACGACGACGACCACCACGACGGCGATAACGGCGATTTCGACGACGACCTCGATGACCTCGTCGACGACCCCCCTAGAGGAGGGCCTCGACGCCCACTGCACAGCCGGACCGCCACCTCCTGTTGTTCTGACGAGGACGCCGACGAACGAAGCCGACGCCGACGCCGTCGCAGACGTCGACGCCGACGCTGACGCCGACGACGACGCCGACGCCGACGCCGACGCCGACGACGCCGCCGACCACGACGCCGACGACGACGACGACCACGACCGCGATGACCACGACGACAGCGATTTCGACTACGACCTCGATGACCTCGGCAACGACCTCCCCCCGAGGAGGGCCTTGACGCCAACTGCACCGCGGCTCCGCCGCCTCCGGCTGCTCCGACGAGGACGCCGACGACGCCGACGTCGACCACGACGAGGCCGACGCCGACGCCGACGCAGACGCCGACGCCGACGCCGACGCCGACGCCGACGCCGCCGACGCCGTTGTCGCCGCCGAAGACGACGACGACCACCACCACGACGGCGATGACGGCGACCTCGACGACGACCTCGCTGACCTCGGCATTGACTTCCCCCCGAGGAGGGCCTCCGGTTGCTCCGACCAGGACGCCGACGACGCCGACGCCGACGTCGACGCCGACGCCAACGCCGACGATACCGCCGACGACGACGACGGCGACGGCGACGACGACGACACCGAACACGACCACCACCACGGCGATGACGGCAACTGCGGCGACGACCTCGGTGATGCTGCTTCGACGGGGGACGCCGACGACGCCGATGGGCGACCTCGACGAGGTCTATGCTGACGCCGATGCTGATGCCGACGTCGACGTCGACATCGACGCCGATGCCGACGCCTGCGCCGCCGCCGACAACGACGACGACGACAACATCCACGACGACGGCGACGCCGACGACTTCGACGACGACCTCCCCCCGAGGAGGGCCTCGACGCCCACCGCACCGCGGCGTTGCCGCCTCCTCCTGCTCCGACGAGGATGCCGACGGCGCCGACGCCGACCTCGACGAGGTCGACGCCGACGCCGACGAGGATGCCGACGCCGACGTCGCCGCCGCCGACGACGACGCCGACGACGACGACGACCACGACGACGGCGGCGCCGACGACTTCGACGACGGGCCTCGAACACGTCGACGACGACCGCAGCGCCGCACCCACGCCGCAGGCCCACCGACGCCCACCGCACCGCAGCGTCGCCGCCTCCTGTTGATCTGACGAGGACGCCGACGACGCGGTCGACGCCGACGCCGCCGACGCCGACGTCGACATCGACGCCGACGCCGACGCCGCCGCCGACGGCGGCGACGACGACGATGACGACGACCACGACGACGGCAATGACGGCGTTTCGACGACGACCTCGATGACCTCCCCCCGAGGAGGGCCTCCCCCCGAGGAGGGCCTCCCCCCGAAGAGGGCCTCGAAGCCCACCGCACCGCGGAGCCGCCGCCTCCGGCTGCTCTGATCAGGACGTCGACGATGCCGATGGCCGACCTCGACGAGGTCGACGCGGACGACGACGCCGACGTCGAAATCGACGCCGATGCCGACGCCGACGACGACGCCGACACCGAAGCCGCACACGCCGACGCCGACGCCGACGCCGACGCTGCCGCCGCCGCTGGCGTCGCCGACGCCGACGCCGACGCTGACGACGACGTCGACGACGACGACGACCACGACGACCAACACCGACAGCGATTTCGACGACGACCTCGATGACCTCGACGACGACCTCCCCCCGAGGAGGGCCTCGACGCCCACCGCACCGCGGCGCCATCACCTCCTGCTGCGACGAGGACGCCGACGACGCCGATGACCGACCACGACGAGGCCGACGCCGACGCCGACGCCGACGCCCACATCCACGCCGCCGCCGACGCCGACGCCGACGCCGACGCCGCCAGCGCCGCCGACTACGACGACGACGACGACAGCGATAATGGCGACTTCGACGACGACCTCGATGATCTCGACGACGACCTCCCCCCGAGGAGGGCCTCGACGCCCACCGCACCGCGGCGTTGCCGCCTCCTGCTGCTCCGACGAGGATGCCGACGGCGCCGACGCCGACCTCGACGAGGTCGACGCCGACCTCTTCAATCTCGGCGATCTCGGCCGACCTCGTCGACCTCTGTGAGCTTGCCCAGGGCCCGCCTACCGGCGCCCGCCCACCGGCGCCCGCGCGGCACCCTCCGTTGTGGGCGGCTCGGAGAAAGGTGCTGCTGGGGGGGAGGCCGCGGCGTTTGGCGCCACCGACCGAATCCGAACTCCTTGCGCGCAGGGTGCCCGTGACGGATGGGCCGAGCGGATGAGTTCGCGAGCTTGGGCTACGGGCTGATGAATGAGTTGCGAGTGAAACGAAAGCTTGTTCGTCAAGCGAGCGTGCGGCCTTGTGAAATGACCGATTCTGTGGATTCGTGCTTTGGGGGCATTGAGGGTCGCGCGGGGGGGACCACACGCACATCTATACAAACACGTGTGTGTGTATATATATATATATATATATGGGAGAGAGCGTGGTCCACCGCCGCTTTACTGTGGAAAATTGCCAACCTTTTCCTCCGGAACCCGGGGGTCGCCCCCCCCCCCCCCTCCTCCGAAATCCCCCCCCCCCCCTGCTGGAACCCCCCCCCCCCCTTCCCAGGCCAAAACCCCCCCCTCCCCTAACCCCTCCCCCCTCCCCCTAGATAACGGGGGGGTCAATACGGTTGTCACCCCTCCCCCCGCCCGCTCCCCCCCTAGGGATCCCGGGGCCCACAAGGGGGGGGTCACTACGGTTTTCGAACCCCCCCCCCTTCGAAAACCGGAGGGGGGTCACTACGGTTCGACCCCCCCCCCAACGCACCGCAGCAAACAAACTTTTTATTCTTTTTCGTCTTTTTTATTATTTCAGTTTGTTTTGTTCCCGGTCCCTACCACCGTCCTCACCACATCCGCCACTGTTGTTCCCAGCGCCACTGTCCTCACCACCACTGTCCCCACTGGTTCCACCACCGCCCCTACTGTCCCCACCAGTGCCACCACCACTGTCGCACTGTCCCCACTGTCCCCACCACTGTTCCCACCACGGCTCCACTCTCCTAACTTTCTCCACGGCCCCAACCACTGCCCGACTATTCCCACTGTCCCCACTGTCCCACTGACTCCTCGGATGTCCCACTGAGCTGTCCCACTGTTCCCACCACTGTCCCCACTGTCCCCACCACTGTCCCCACTGTACCCACTGTCCCATTGTCCCACCGCCGTCCTCGCCACCGCCTTCACCACTGTCCCCACCACCATTATACCCTCCACTGTCCCACTGTTTCCACCTCATTCCCACTGTGCCCACACCGCTGTCCCAACCACCACCGTCCCCACCACTGTCCACTGTCCCCCCTGATCCCACCATTGTCCCCACCACTGTCCCCACTTCTACCGTCCCCACCACTGTCCCACTGTCCCCACCACTGTCCCGCTGTCCCCTCACCACTGTCCCCACCAACACCGTCCCCACCAATTCGTTTGGGGTGGGTGGGTTCGAACGGTATGACCCCCCCCCCTTTCATGATGAATGGGGGGGGCGGGGGGGGAGGGGTTCGAACCGGTAGGGACTATATCCGTTTTCCGGGATGGGGGGGGGGGGTGGGTTCGAACCGGTAGTGACCCCCCCAGGTTTTCCGCCAGCAGCGGTAGAACACGCTCTTTCATATATGGACATGCCTGCAAACAACTATATATACACATGATTGTAGATGTTTAGTAAAGGTAAATGTCTGTATATCTAATATATACACATACACACATACACACATATACGTATATCTTTACATATTATATATATATAGATATATATATATATATTTTATATAGACATATATTATATATATGATATATATTTATATTATACGGCGCACCGGGTCCGGGGGCCCGGGGCCGGGACCCCGACCGCAAATGTGGGCCCCGGGGGGCCCGGAGGCTCGTCGAACCGCCGGACGCCGTCCAAGATCGTTCGCAGGCGGCTTCGGAACGCGCTCCGATGGCTCCAGATGCCTTCCAAGACGCCTGTCATGACACCAAGAAGGTCCCAGAAGCCTCCAAGACGCTCCGAGAGGCAGCCAAAGAGAGGCCCAAGAAGCAAAAATCGTGCCATTCCTATGGGAAAACGTATATATTTCGCATGTTCGCCTCTTGGGCTTTCACCGGGTCCAAGACGGCCCAAGAGGCGCCCAAGACGGTCTACGAGGCCTCCGGGAGCGCTCCAAGGCTGCGCAAGAGTGGCCCAGGACGGCCCCAAGACGGCCGAAGAGAGCCCCAAGACGAGTTCGAGAGGGGTCCCACACGGAGAAAGGGAACGCCAACCTTGCCGTCCGAGTGGGATCGTTTTTTTACTTTGTTTTTTTTTTATTATTTTTTTTTTTGTTTTTTTTTTCTTTTTTTTTTTTTTTTTTTTTTTTGTTTTGTTTTTGTTTTATCTATTCCGGCCCAAGAGGCTCCAGGAGGCGCCAAAATGCCGCCAAGAGGCGCCATAAGGCTCCCAAAAGCACCCCAAGACGTTCCGAGAGGCACCCCAAGAGAGGTCCAAGAAACAAAAATCGTGTCATTCCTATGGGAAAACGTATATTTTTCGCATGTTCGCATCTTGGGCTTTCACCGCGTCCAAGACGGCCCAAGAGGCCTCCAAGACGGCCTAGGAGGCCTCCGGGAGCGCTCCAAGGCTGCGCACGAGTGGCTCAGGACGGCCCAAGACGGCCCAAGAGAACCCCAAGACGACTTCGAGAGGGGTCCCAGAAGGAGAACGCCACTCTCGAATTCCGAGCTTCCGGCCCAACACATCCCAGGAGGCGCCAAAACGCCGCCCAGAGGCGCCAAAAGGCTTCCAAAATCAGCCCAAGACGTTCCGAGAGGCACCCCAAGAGAGGTCCAAGAAGCAAAAATGGTCCCATTCCTATGGGAAACTTATACTTTTCGCATGGTCGCCTGTTGGGTTTTCACCGCGTCTAACACGTCCGAAGAGGCTCCCAAGACGGCCTAGGTGGCCCCCAAGAGAGTTCCAAGACGGTTCACGAGGCGCCCAGGACGGCAAAATTGGACTCCAAAATGGCCTAAGAGAGCCCCAAGGCGTGCCCGAGAGGGGTCCCAGAGGGAGAAAGCCACTGGAGAATTCCGAGCTTTCGGCCCCAAGAGGCTCCAGGAGGCGCCAAGAGAGCTCCAAGAAGCCCCCACGAGAGACCCAGGACGCCCCAAGAGGCTCCAAAGGCGGCCCAAGAGAGCCCCAAAATGGGCCCGAGAGGGGTTCCACGCAAGTTGTTTTGCGGGGAGCTCGGGTGACGAGGATGAGGAGAAGACGAGGAGGAGGAGGAGGAGGAGGAGGAGGAGGAGTGATGAGGAGGAGGTGGAGGAGGGGCAGGAGGAGGAGGAGGAGGAGGAGGAGGAGGAGGGAGAGGAGGAGGTGGAGGAGGAGGAGGAGGAGGAGAGGAGGAGCGAGGAGGTGGAGGAGGAGGAGGAGGAGGAGGAGGAGGCAGGAGGAGGGGAGGAGGAGGAGGAGTAGGAGGCGGAGGGGAGAGGAGGAGGAGGAGGAGGAGGGAGGAGGAGGAGGAGGAGGAGGAGGAGATGGAGATGGAGAGGGAGGAGGAGGAAGAGGAGGAGCAGGAAAAGGAGGAGGAGGAGGAGGGGTGATGTGGACGCCGCCGAAGTTTCCCGGGGAGTCCTGGGGGCACTTTGGTCTAGGGCCCCTCGTCGCAGGGGCTGGGCGCAGTCCGAAACGTTGGAGCGTTCGGAGTCCCGGGGTCGATTTTGAGACGACTTTGCGTTTCCAGTGTCTCGCCCTTCTCCTCGACAGTCGAAGGCCAGACTGACAGATTGCCTTGGGTTCCAGGGGCCACTCTGGCGTGGCCAGGTTGGAGGTTTTTCCTTGCTCGCCAGTCTGTAACCTCGCTGGCTCTCCGCCAGATTGCCAACTTTTGCCAGATTGGGGCCGCCAGATTGGCGCCAGATTGGCTTCGACTTCGCGTCCCAAGATTTCAGTGTCTCGCCCTTCCCTGGGTAGCCGAAGGCCAGACTAACAGATTGCCTTGGGATCCAGGGCCACTCTGGCGTGGCCAGGTTGGAGATTTCTACTTGCTCGCCAGTCTGTTACCTCGCTGGCTCCCCCGCCAGATTGCCAATGTTTGCCCGATAGGGGCCGCCAGATTGGCGCCAGATTGGCTTCGACTTCGCGTCCCCAATTTCTTCTCACAGCGATTCCTGGGTTTGTGACTCGACAGAACCTAAGCGCGCGCGAAGCGCGCGTGGTTCTAGTAATATTTATAGGTATATATATGTATATATCATCATCATCATGCGTGTACACATGCACATATCGCTATGTATACATGTTCGCACACTCGCCTTTTCGGCCTTCCGGTGTCCCAGGCAGCTCTAAGAGCTGTCGCGCCCAGACGGGCCCAGGTGGGCCGCAAGAAAGCACCTAGGAGGCACCAGTGCAGCCCGAGCTCGTCCCGCGACGCCACGGGAGCGCCCCTCGAGGTGTTCAAGACGGCCCCACTTGGCCCCAAGCTAGTCCGAACCGAACCCCACACAGCCCCAACATGTGTCGATATGTCCGCTGCAGAACCCTGGGTGCACAGCTTTGCCGACCACGGCTCCACGACGGCCCGAGAGGCCCCCCAAAGACCCCCAGGAGGCTCTTGGACATGTCCCCTGACACGCCGCCTGGACCCTCGCACGCACCCTGACCGCCTTCGGGCGGTCGCACAGTGTATCCCCCAAAACCGTCGAGCCCAGGCTGCCCCTCTGCCTTATCCTGCTTGCTACCACAATCATCCCTCCCTCCTCTCTCATACGGGGCCCAAAGGCATACACCACCACCACCACCACTTCCGTCATCCCCCCCCTCCAAGGAAAGAGGAGAGGAAAACGAGGTTGGAGGTGGGCGGAGGAATCGACGTGGTGGTGGTGTTTTTGCCGGGGGCCCGCATGTCTCATCCGTCCTTCTCTCATCCGTTATCTTTTCCTCCTCTTCCCTCCTGCAAATGCGCATTCTCCTTCTCTTTGCCGAGTCAGCAACAACGCCCGGGAGACGAACAAAGGCACAGCGTTCCGACACTCCTGCTTCCAACGTTGGAAGACGCCACCGAGGATGCATCGGAAACATGTCACCAGCACCGTCAGCGACTCAAGCACCCGCGGATACCTCCACCGTCAACGAGCCATGACAAGAACTACAGGAAACACCGCAGAAAGCCGAATCACAGCTAAACCAGGCATGCACGCCAAGA